CCTCTCTCACTGGCTGCTCTTCTTTAGGAAAATATATCATCCATTCATTGTTTCCTTTGCTCAAAAAACATTTATTGTAAACAGTGTCCCAGTCAATAGGCGCTGGGGATACAGTGAGGGTCTGAGACTGCTCTTGGTCTCATAAAGAATAGATGCACTTTGTCTGGATGCATCAAGTTAATGAGAATGCCCTCACCCTTGTCCTAGTGGTGAATCAGATACCTTTTGGCCTAATTCAGGCAAGTGCTAGCCCCCCCTCCATTCTTTCACACAAAGCCGTATTTCTCCATTTCAGATTCCAGTGGTCTGTGTGGGATATCAGTCAAAGCCACTGGCCTAAAGGAGATTCAGTCTTTACCAAGTGGTCCTGGGCTCTGGACCAGACAAGCAGTTTGGGGAGCATCGCAAGATATGGACCTGTTTTTTTATTAGTATTACAATATGGCTTTCATATGTTTAAAAGAACAATGGCTCTAGAATTGTTTTCTGTAATGTTTACTGCAATTTATAAACATTTCAGTCGTATCATAGAGATCATTGACTCCTAGGGGCTGTTCTGAAAACAAAACCATTATTTGTACAACTATATCTAAGATCAATTTCTGAGAGTTCCAGATATCTAGCTCACTGTTACATATAGAATATAACTATATTCTACATGGGTATATTCTAAAAGGCAGTGTTAGAAGGATAGAGTACTTTGAGGAGCCATGAAGGTATGACTGGTTGCTTGAACAGTAAATAGTCATAGACTGTTCTGCCTTTTGAGTTCTTGTGCCAATGTTTTAAAGCAGTTTTATGTAGTTCTTCACTTTCAGCTGCCTCCTTTTTACCCCTAAATTCAGAGTTTCCATCTCTGGCAGCATTCTTTTTCTTTTAAATATCCATTCACCCAGGCAGCCTGCTTTCTGGTTGGGGTAGAGATGTGGTCCAGCCTCTGTTCTCATGTAGTGAATCTTACATTCAGGTGGATAAATTGAACTAGACAATATAACATACTCAATAGATAAAGTGGTGCCTGAAGACCTCACAGAGGAGTAAAACTGGTCTGACTCAACCCCAGAAGCCCATGACTATAAGAGGCTGAATATATCTTAGTGTCCCCTGCCCTTGGGCCAGAGCACTCCCTACCCCAGAAGAAAGTCGTAAGACCATTTCCTATAATGAATTCACCAGTACCAATCAACCTGAACAGCACTAAAGTTATTCTTCTTTAAATAAACAGTAGAACTCCTCTGTGCTGCAATCTGGACCATACATGTTTGTAGGGTAGTTCTTTATCAACTTTATTTCTTCTATGAATATTTGCCTATTATTCCATGTATTCAGGAGTCTCTTTCGTTAAATTATATTTTCCTGGAAAGCTGTCCATTATTCCAGGTTCTCATCAAAACTTGGATTGCATAGACATCTGAAAGTTAAAATGTTAACAAATTAACTCTAGTTTCTGCTCCACCCACTCATTCCTCCCACCCCAAATCTTCCCTATCGGTCTAACTGGCACCACCACCCATCCAACTGCTAAAAGACAAAAATCTAGGAGTCATCCTTATTTCTGCTTCCTTTGCCTACTCCTTCCATCTATCAGTAATTTATTAATTCTAGCTCCAAAATGGATCTGGAATCTCCATTTTTGTCCACCTCCAACACCTGCCTCTTCTATTCTTCCCCTCACCTTCTATTTACTTCCCCAATCAATTCTGAACACAGTAGCTAGAATGTTTTTCTTAAAATATAAATCAGATTATATTACCCTCACCCTCAATGCCTTTGCTCAAAACCCATCCAAATTTTCCTTCACCCTTAGTGAAGGAAAAAAATTCAAACTCCTCAAGAAGGGCAATGAGGCCTTACCTCATTGAGAGTCGACCATGTTCCCAACTTCATGTCAAATAACTGTCCCTATACCACTGTGAGCCCAGAACTTGAGTTCCTCAAAGATGTCAAGTTCTTCCCCATCCAATTTGGTTGCTGTAAACTGTTCCCAAGTCTATTCACCTTAAATGTCACTTCCTTAGAGAAACCTTTGATGAGCATCCTATCTGAAATTGATACTTTACACCAGTGGTCGGCAAACTCATTAGTCAACAGAGCCAAATATCAACAGTACAACGATTGAAATTTCTTTTGAGAGCCAAATTTTTTAAACTTAAACTATATAGGTAGGTACATTGTTATTAACTTAATTAGGGTCCTCCTAAGGCTTAGGAAGAGCCACACTCAAGGGGCCAAAGAGCCACATGTGGCTTGTGAGCCGCAGTTTGCCGACCATGGCTTTACACTATTATTTTCTGCCAAAACACCTTGTTAATATCCCTCAAAGCATTTAGTAAACTAGCAATTATTTTTGTTTATTTGTCTTTTTTTTCCTGTTTTCCTCCAGGGAATTTATTTTTAATGGGGGTGGGAGAATGTCTATGTGATAACCATTGTATTTCCACATTTTGCATAGTGCTTGGCAGCAGAGCAAGCACTCAATTGTAAATGTTTAGTGAATGAATGACCCAGATCCAAGAGGATAATAGCTAAATGGGAGATACTGTAAAAGAGGAGAACGCTCAGTGAAGAGCTGTAATATGGACAACATATCTGTTAGTCATCTGAACAAAGCTAGTCTTGTACTTACCCCAGGAATGCGATAATAAAACTGGACTTTGGCTTTCTTCAGGAAGGCTGAATTGCGTTAAGCCTGGAAGAAATTAGTCCATCTCATTATATTCACATTAGGCAATTAAAAATAGGAATATACATATTATGTATATAAACAGAGTTATTTCATAGATTGTTATCTATGTGAACTGAGAGAGTCAATGGCCAATCCAGGATACTGACATAAATTAATATTTTACTTGATTCTATTTTATGCATCGTCTGCCAATACCACTAGCTCACACATATGCAGAGGTATTTCATGACCACAACTCAAATCACTGAATTCCAATCTCTTTGTAGCCCTGTGCTAGGGGCTGAAATAATCTAGTCTGAGAAATGTCCTCATCTCCCTAGAAAATTACATAAGGCCAACACTAATGTGCCAACATGAGAGAGGGATGACACTGGATACTGACCAGATCCAGATACTGGATATCAACCCAGCTAATTAACTTCCCTAAAGCTCGTGGCACTTCAAGCACTTAGCCTAGAGCCTGGGCTCAGGCAGCATTCAGCATGAGCTGAGAGCATCACCATCCTCTGTCATATGTAAGCCACAGGGTGGTTTCCTTGGGTGTTTGGAAGAAAGGAGAGCGAGTGCAAAACCCAGAGGGATGTATATTGAAGCAGTCTGTTCTTTGAGGTATTCTAAATCCATACAGGGGCCTATTAACAAGGAAGATGAATGTAAATAGTAATTAGTATCCTACAATGTCATCTGTGTGAACTAGACAGTGATCTAAAATCTGGGCTTCAGTCAAAATAAGTGACTTTTCCAGGTTTCAGAAGACTAGGGGGCATATTCTTCTCTAATGCTTACTATAGTGTTGCTTTATAACAGCATTTCTCAAAGTGTGAATCTTTGGAACTCTAAAGGGACCCACCTCCTTTCCTTGGGGACCTCTAAGAAAACTAAGCTTCCATAGGTTCTGTGAGGTCAAAATGTATTTTGGCAAATGGTAATAATAATAAGACATTATTTGCTTTTTGTATTCTTACTCGCTCATGAGAGTACAGTTGAATTTTATAGAGGCTGCAGGATGTGATGTCACAACAGACTGAATTCAGAAGCAGACATGTGAATGCATCTGTCTTCTATCAGGCCAGACATTAAAGAAATTTGCAAAAACATAAAAAAGCGCTACTCTTTTCACATTTCCTGCTTTCAAAAATCTGCTTATTTTTCATAAAAATCTGTTACTTACATAAATATGTACAGATTTGTTATTTTTAATATATGTTTTTTAAATCCAAGTGTCAATGTTTTAAATATATATTTATTGCTGAAACCGGTTTGGCTCAGTGGATAGAGCATCAGCCTGCAGACTGAGGGGTCCCAGGTTCGATTCTGGTCAAGGGCATGTACCTGGGTTGCGGGCACATCCCCAGCTGGGAAGGACTGAACACCCCCATCCTAATTTAGACCTTTGGGTGCTGCCCCATGACCTCCACCAAAGCCCATGTAAGGAGCTAAGTCCTTAAGGACTAAAGTAAAGTTCTCTGGGAAAAAAAATACAATAGAAATTATCTTTTAAAAAAACTTTTCAGCTTAAGAGGTCCTAATTCCAAGAAGTTTGAGAACCATTCGAAACGTGGGGCACTCAGTAAAGAGATTCTAAAACCATATCCCCTTTGAGAACACATGGAGGGCGATGTGCGTGTGAAAGAATTTTGAAAATCCATGGTCTGTACTGTCATTATTATTGTGCTAAATGGAGTAACAGAGGAGGAATAACTCAGATTTCTACAGTGTTGTTTGGAATATATGGTGCAAGCAGAATACTGTCCATCCTAAAACCACCTGACTTAGATTTCTGTGACAGAGCTGGTTCTCAACAGGCAGATACAGCTTTAGCCACTGCAAGTTTACACAGGGATCCCTTCGGCTGTTCAAGCGGAAGAAAACACTAGGCTTCCTCCCAGGCAGAAGCACTGCCCCTCCCTCCACGCAGCTGGGGGGGGGGAGGGAGGATAAAGCCGCGAGTCTTATATGTGTGTGCTCTTGATCGAGTTGATTGTACCAGGAACACAATTCCGTATACAACTGAAAACCAACTGTTTACTCACAAATCTAAATATTTTGCTCAAAGTCTACTCCCTTTCATTTTTTTAAATAAATCAATTTGGATCAAAAACACTGCAATTTGGATGACCCTGTTTCGGCTTTTCAAAATTTACACTTCTAGGTGGATGTCCCGAAGCCACACTCTGCTCAGAGCGCCACAGAAGTGGCCGGTTTAACAAGCAGCAGTGACGGGGCTCCTGTGTGGAGTTTTACCAACACCAACCCCCACTACCTCACACTTCAACTAAGATACTTCTAGAAAGAATATTTAAAAAAAAAATACCTCAGCATTTGCAGATCGCAGAATGATTTCAGATCAGCGGCCTGTTTCCCCCAAAACTCCTACAATTGAACAAAAGTTGCCTTTAAAGCAGTAAGCTGTTATTCCACCCTGGGACAGATTCTCATAAGTCACAGAGAATGTTGTAAACACAAAGAACTTACCAGAACATCCTTCTCAAGGTGTTTCAGAGCCTGCATATCCTTCTCAAGGCTGGTGAGCTCTCGAAGAACAATATTGTTAAAGTGTTCTAGTTTATTCAGCCTGATAAAGGTAAAAGGAACAGGTCTCACGGGACTGCTTGGCTGTGGCAAAGACCCTCTTAATCCTCTTCCTGCAGGGATGTGTCACCTTCTTCTCCAGACATTCGTTTTAAGAATACATGTCTCTCTTCCCTCCCCTCACTGCCTGCCCATCCTCACCCCAAAACGTACTATGCGAACTTTGATTTAGCCTTTCAACAGGAGCCGGAGAACACTGGTATTTTAAATCATACTTTGCAGAGCAAAGGAGAGAGGACTCAGGGAATGAGGGCCGAAGCCAGGCCTAGGCCAGCAGCAGCCGCAGTCCCACTAACCACGGCTCCCAAGCTTCCTACCTCCGCTTGCTCCCCTTTTTCTTGCGTAAGCGGGCTCTGAAAACTGAAGTTGGCTTTTTTTTTCCATCTCTACATTTTCATTTTGAAATTTCTAACAGTCACTATTCTGTGTCTAACCACCATATAAACTGCTTATTTGTTCACTTGCTTCTTGTTTGTCTTCTCCGTTGGGCGGGAGGCTCTTCGAGGACAAGCCGCCCTAAAGTTTGTTCCCCTGCACTCCTGCATGGAGCGCAGAACCGGCATCCAGCGAGCTGTGTGCATTTGCTGAACAAAACGATGAGTAAAGCCCTGACTGGGTGGCTCAGTTGGTTGGACATCATCCTATGCACCAAAAAGGTCCCCGATTGTATTTCCACTCAGGGCACATTCCCAGCTTGTGGGGCTCCATCCCTAGCAGGGGGCGTGTAGGAGGCAGCTGACCCATGTTCTGCTCTCACTTGGCTGTTTCTCTTTCTCTCTCACTCTCCCTTCCTTTCTCTCTAAAAATCAATAAAACTATTTTTCTAAAAATGAATACATGCATGCCCCTTAAAAGATGATGGAAGGTCCATGAGTCCAGAGTCCCTCACGGACTTGTTTTGAGACTCAAATGACAATACATGCATGTATAAATGTTTGAAAAAAAATTTAAATTTCTATTCATGTTATATATTCTGTCCTAAGAAGCTTTCTACTTTGGTTAAGCAAATCGGCCTGCCGTCACGTTCTTCCCCACCTTCCCTTACAGGCCATTCTCTCCAACAGGAACCATCTCTATACTCACCTTTCCTATTCCATTCAAATCTCTGTTTCCAAAACCTCACTCCAGAAGCACTTCCACTGTAATCACTCTGGATCAACTCCAGTCACTACAGAAACCCATCTCCCCATTCGCACTTCTTGTCCTTCACATCTGTCTGAAATCTCAGCTCCTTTTTACTTCTTGCTACATAGTGACAAGGGTCTGTGTGTGCATAAGTGTGTAGTATTTTTTTTATTGTTGCAAAATATACATAACATAAAACTGACCCTTTTGATCATTTTAAGTGTACAATTCAGTAGTGGTAGGACATTCACAATGTTGTGTGGCCACCACCACTCTCCATTTCCAGAATTTTTCCATCATCCCAAATAGAAACCCTTTATTGACTAAACAATAACTACCCATTTCCCACTCTCCCAACCGCTGGTGACCTCTATTCCACTTTATGTCTCTATGAATTTGCCTATTCTAGGTACTTCATATAAGTGGAGTCATATAATAATTGTCCTTTTATATATTTCACTTAAAATAATGTCCTCAAGATTTATCTCTGTTGTAGCTTATATTAGAATTCCATTCCTTTTTTAAGTTGAATATCCCACTGTATGTCTATACCACATATCATTTATCCAGCATTTTTACATACTTGCTTGTTTCGACGTATGTACATATGTGCTTTATGTTTTTTATTATTTATTTACCACAAGTAAAGGTCAGGAATTGTTATCTTTCTTTTACATTTTTTTTTACTGTTTCACGTCATTATTGCTGTGTATGTGCTCCATGTGAGTGACAGGTGCTTATGTAGGTGGGTTCCGACTTATGGCGAAAATCACATTATGTCGCACCGTAGTAGGAACGGATCTCCGATATAACCCAAGGACCTACTATAGTCTTTTAGAGCCATATAATGGTATGCCATAAAGAGGCTTAAGAAGGGCCTTCAGTTCAGTCCTTCATCTTATGAAGAACCAGACACCTGGAAGGGTTAAGCAATGTATCAAACCTCACATCTTCCCGAGCTCCAACTCCTCACGACCCAGCACAGTGGTCATGAGACAAACATTTGTGAGCAATCACACTTTTATAAACTTGTTTTGAAAGCCAATACTTACCTACAGTGATGTATCTGGTTTAAAAGTTTTATTAGGCAGCTCGGTGCTTGCTTTGCATATTCTGAATAAAGTGCACTCCTTCTGTACCTAAGCTAAACCATAATAACAATACAAGATCACATTTGGGTCAACCATAACCACACAAAATGAGTGCAGGCTTTGTATTAAAAAGATTTTGACAGCACACAACATTCTTAGCAAACATTACTGCTAAGGAACAGTGAAAAGGTGCAATGCTACACACCTCCCGTGTACTACCTCAGGGCCAGTACCAATACAGAACAATAAGCTAAAATAGGAAAACTTGCATTCATACTATTGCAACACATATTGAATATCATGTACAACTTTCCATTATAAATTATCTTATAGAGTATTGTAGAAAATAAGACTTTGGAGATCTTCCAACTTAGTTAAATGAAGTGTATTAGTGTAAGATAGTTCTCTCACATGTGCTATTAAATAACTCTAGGGATATAAAAAAAAATAGGACAAAAAAGAGGAGACTGAAATGGTTTCAAAGTTCATCTGGCAGGTACAGTTTTGGGACAGCCTACAGGTGCAGTGTCCGGTAAGCCACAGCTCTGCTGGGCACCGTCCCACAGCCTAACCCCATCTTTGTCCCAGAACCTCTCTTAGCCACATGCCTTCTTCTCCCGAATCCTCCTTGTCCACCATTGTGACAAAATCATTGCTTCCTGCTAGTTTAGTTGTCTGAGAATGCCATCAGTGACACCTAACCGTGAGTCCAATTTGCATAGTCCTTCTGGTCCCATGGCAGCAAATGAACATGAAGTAGCTCTCTTATAAATACAAACCACAATTCAACAAGACTCTGAAGTCAGGGGCCACAGCTAAGACAGACTCAGGAATACTTGCACACATGAAAGATAACGGTACTAATAAATAATATGAACCTGTTACTTTAAACTCATAACAAGCTAGCTTTTCATTGTCAGTAGACCATTACCTCACATTTTCTTTCCAGTTCTCTAGTGAAGTTCTCAAAGGTTGTGATAACAGCAGAGCTATTCAAGTTCTCCGGCACAACGGCCAGGGGTGGAGTAGAAATGTTTTCTGAACAATAAAAACAGAACATTAAGTAAAATTAACAAAGTGCGAAGTAGATGTGCTCAGTCCATCAGCTGCGGGAGGATGGAGTGAGGCAGAAGCACACATCCGATCCACGAAAGCCCTTGGCTGCCTGGCTTGACTACAGAGGGCTCACTCTGGCTGATGCCAACAAGGCCAACTCAGGCCAAGAGTCCCCACGGCAGGCGCTTCATGCTGCTTCTTACCAAACCTCCTTCTCCAGCAAGTGCCCGCTTCATCCAAACTTTCCCAGCACTTTACATCAGTGCGACCGATATGATATCTAAGAAGCAGGCTGAGGTGCAGGTTTTAAGGAGGATGTGATGGGTAGGGCATTTCTATGAGGGAAACACTGGCATAACAACTCCGGATGCCGACATTTCCTGAGAGCACATGAGGGGTTGGCATCATTCATAGTGGTTGGCAAACCGCTGCTCGTGAGCCACATGCGGCTCTTTGGCCCCTTGAGTGTGGCTCTTCCACAAAATACCACGTGCGGGCGCGCACGTACAGCGTGATTGAAACTTTGTGGCCCATGCTAGAAGTCGGTATTTTGTGGAAGAGCCACACTCAAGGGGCCATGTGGCTCGCGACCTGCTGTTTGCCGAGTTGCAGTTTGCCGACTACTGCCCTAGGAGATGTATCAGTAAA